ATCGCGAAGGAAATTTCTATGTCGATACTCTTTCAAAGGTGTGAAGCCTCCTTGATGAGGACTTTGTGTGCTTCGATTCTCCTCCAACAAAAACCTCGGCCAGATTCGATACAGACTTCAGGGGAGTTTCGTTCCCAGATTCTTCTTCGCTGATTCACCGGCCTTGGCCTATCGAACAAGCAAAATGGTAAGAAGTTTCAGTCCCATTGGCTGCCATTTAAGTTTTTAAAAAACCGAAAGCAATTCGAGTAGGCTATCATGTAAGAACAATTATCTTACCTACTTAACTCCGCGGACCTTCTTAGCCCTGTTCTTCCGTTCCTTCATTTACATCCTCGATTTCTCCACCCTCTTATCGAATCCGTTCTGAAAATGCGAAATATAAATCACTAGCATCTTGCATCATATCCGTACCCTTCAAAGTTGATACCAAACTACAGTTTTGCAAGTAAAATCAAACTATGCTATTCAAACTCGTGCGAGAGTGTGAGGTACAAGTGTGTGCCCTACACAAGTATGTTCAGTTTTCTAAATTCCTCTATGCATTTTGAGGATACAAAGGGTGACATCCTCATATATTTTAGGATCATACTTCGAATTAAACCACCACACCACATCAAATAAAGGCAGCTTCAACTACAAGTGAAACCTAGTATGTATAAAAACAACATATTACATTACCCTGATCAGCCTGTATTTAGGTTCATACTTCTTTGCACTCTAGACAGAATCATAAATCAAACTGAACCCAGTAGATTTATCGCCTCCAAAATGAGTTCTGAATTTGAACACAAAGATAGAATTCGGGTCCTTGACCTCATACATTCTAGCAAGCTTCTCCTTGAGCTCCGCCTGACAAGCCGACATCAACAAGTCGAGAACATATTACCCACAAATCAAAATAAACCAGCATTTCAAACAAGACAACAACTTCAATAAGAAACGTTAATATTTACCTTGGAAACATTGGGTCTCCCAGGATGCAAAACATCAATGATCTACCAAAAAGAACCACTTATATTAACAAATATAAGATGCCAAAGCAACAAGTCAAGTATAACATTGGGACTCCAAATTAACAAATATAATCGTATTTGATTTGCAGTTAAATAAAAAAAAAATCTTTAGGCTTCTATTTGTTAAGGGGGGAAAGGCTAATATTTTTAAAAGCCCTAAATTAAGCATCTTAAAAGCAAACGAATAAAAAGGGCAACAGTATGTTCTCCAAATTTTATTTCTTTAGCTAGATCTGCATGTCCAACTAAACCCAATAATTAAAATTCTATGATTGACACACGTCTGATCACCGATAAAATCAATGGAAAATAAGTAGAAGGAAAACAAAAAAAGAGAGCAAAGGGAACATACAAATTGTTTCCTGGGAAGTAGCCTGTTGGTCATGAACTTCCTAGTCCTAATAGTCACTGCCTTGTCCGCCATCGCAAATCAAAATCCTTCCCTTCTTTTAGTTTCAGCAGCAGCAGCTGCTCATTAATATAAAGTATTTGTCGCCTAACTGTTTAATATCGTAATTTGGAGGATTTGAGTTCTATTTTAAAAAAATAAAATACAACTTTTTCAAGATTTCAATATTAAAAATGTTAGAGATCAAACTAAACATCAATGTCGGAATCAAAATTTAAGCAACGTAAAAAAGATTGTGGTAAGAAATAATCCACTTGGATGATTAAGGATTAAAGGTGGCGAATCCTATTCAATTGCAACAAGCAACAATAAGGTGGCGGCAACTTAGTAACATATGTACGCTTAACAATTAAGCTAAAATGGCAGCAATAAGTAACATTTGGCAGCTTATAAAATACTTAATTATTAAGTAATATAAATGGTGGCAAAGATGGGTAGAAAGGTTTCATAACTTCTATCTATATATGTGTGTGTTTTAGTTTAGTTTTAGTATGTATTAGTGAGAAGAAGAAGAAAAGAAAAATATACTTAGAAATTTTTTGTTATTTCTCATGTTTATAAACTAGTCGAAACTAATATTGTATCGTTATTTATTTGTATTAATAATATTATGAGTTTTAAAATTTATCAAATGTTTATTTACGCTTTTAACAAAAAAAATAATAAAATTGTAAATTATCTTATTTTATCTTCAATATTTAATTTTATCAATTGAAATTAACTTATCATATTCTTACAGGACGATATCAAGGCACGGGGAGATGAACTTGTAAATATATTCTCTAAATAATTATTCATCTTTTTTTCTTCTAAATATATTCAATTTTGACAAACTCGTGAATATATTCTCTAAATAATAATTCAATATTTCTAAATTATTAATTTTTTTCTCTTGTTATTTTAATAAAAATAGCCTTAAGTAGAAGTGGTAGGCGATTACAATTTTATAGATTTACATTCTAATTGAGGCAGAGGAGGATAATTTTAATAGATTGTTAATGGATGTAAAAAAGTCATATTCATTATTATAGGTAGTAGATAGATGATAGATTTAAGACCTTAGCCGTTTTGCATCTGCCCACCCCACATCTGTTCGTCCTACATCCGTTCGTCCACTAATTACTCATTATATAAATTTTGAATCATCATGAATTTAGGTATAATTTCAGAGACTATCACATAAATATTAATATTTTATAGAACATGATTTATAATTTAATCAAATATTAGATTATTGTAGACACCCGTTTTTGACATAAAAAATATATATTATTATAATAATTATTTACTATTATTATTATATTATTAATACTATTAATATTATTTTTACAGGTTTATTTCAACAACAAACTATCCCACCACTACTACAACTAACCCACTAAATCCCTAAAATCCCGGCTAGTGCAACCCCCGACAAATTCAACCGAAAATGGGACTCCGGGACCCCTCTCTCTAACTGCGCACCACCCATATTCTCCAGTAACTAGGAACAACAGAAAGCCACCACTTTGCAAAGCTATTTTTAGATTATAATTTTCTTATATATTCTTCACGTATTTGTTGAAACGGGGCAATAAAAAAGCAAAAAATGGAAGAGAAGCAGAAAGATGAGCTTAAAACACCATAAATCCAACTCTGCAGCTGCTCAATCTCTCTCTTTTGAGGACGTTGCCGATTTCTTCTCTCTTCCTCTCGACGACGCCGCTTCCACTCTTGGCGTTTCCGCCTTCGTTCTCAAGAGAATCTGCCGTGAAAATGGTCTTGACAGATGGCCTCATCACAAGTTTTTATCTGGGGAAGTAGCAAGTCTGATGGCCATGAAGCCATAGGTGTTGGTGGAGGCACCAAGGAACGATGACGAGTTTAAAGAGATCGGACGCCATACCAAAGGGTGCAGAGTCTGTAACATGATCGAAGGGGGTGTTACACCGTTGCGCACGCCTGAGGAGCTCAAGGAGATGGGGTTTCATTTGATCGTGCACTCGCTCACTGCTCTCTATGCTTCAGCTCGCGCATTGGTCGATGTCCTCAAGATCCTCATGCAAAACGGAAACAACTGGAGTCAAAAGCTTTGGATATGCAGTTGGGCCCAACAATGGCGGAATCTAAATTAGACTCCCATTTTTTGAAGGATTTTTATATTCTTGCATATATATTTAATGATGAAACTCAGATCGCTGGTGTTCTCGATGCACTAAAGTTTCCAGTGCTCGTGTTTATCAACTCCAGAACTGATGGTGTTCGGCCTGCCAGGTTCTCCGCTAACTATGGAGCTAAGTTTGCTGAGCCACTAAGAGCAATGGTAATGGGAGCTCCTTTGGAAGATGCGCGACATCTTGCTCAACGCTGTGACAGAATGCGACAAGAAGCTGAAGCACAGGCAATCGAAGTTTCGAAATGCCAAGCAAAAGCGAGGGAACGTGCTCCTGGGATTAATTCTCAACAATTGTTCCCACATGTGAGGCCCATTGTTTGTTTCATGGGTTTGCGTGCATCTCATAAAATTTAAATATTTTATCATTATTTCATGCATGCTGTTCGTTTTATGCATTTGTGTGCATTTCATAAAATATAAGCATTTATTATTATTTCATGCATGTTGTTCCCATGCTAGCTGTTCGAATTGGCATATATGTTTTCCCTCAATAATACATGTTTATTGTTTTTATCTCTATGTAGATATAGGAAGCTATAATTGTTATAATTTTTATCTAATATTTTTTAATCCTTTTTTACAAGAATTTTAATCAATCGAATGTTTTAAATTTTAATTTTAATTTTTAATTTTCTCTAATTAATACAACCAACAAATTACATGGTACCGAAAGGACAATTCAAGGTGCTAATCTTCATTGACTGTAACCGACTACCGAACCCAACACATTTTTGATAAAACGCAAATCATATAAGATGGTGTCCGATCTATCTAAATGCTTTTAAAGTGATCGGTGACGACTCTAATCCAATCAATTCAAGTCGTAACCCAATTCCAGACCCAACCGAAAGACGACCGCGACAAGTATCATGTCTTTTAATAAACATTTTTATTTTATATTTTATTATTTATGCAATATGTAAGGTTGTTGTCATACAGATATGGATGTATACAAAGCAAATACAATATGAGCAATAGATATTTAATTGGACAGTGGTTATGGGGTGAATTTAAAAAATATATTCATATGAACGGATGTAAACTTAAAAATTTTATCTATAGTGAATGATGTGTAAATAGTAAATACGAAAACATTAAATGAGTATAAAATAAAAGGTATTCGGACCAGTCCCATCCATTTTCCATCCATAGCCGTCAGCCCACTATACCGATAAACGCAGCGTTTTAGCCTTTTGTCCCTTGTTTTGTTTCAGTCTTCTTCTTTTCCCAGAAAAATCCGATCCAAAACCCTAGCTCTGGGAAAACAAATTCTTAAAACCAAAGTACAGAAAGAAGGAAATGACTTTATTGAGAAGTCGCACAGCTTCATTGAATCTCTTCAACAAGTTTCTGCATCAATCGTTTCGTGTTCCCAATCGCAATCTCTCCCTGGTACACCTCACTCCATCTTTTTTTAACAAAAAAAATTATCAAAATGGCGTCTGATCATAGCCCCCTTTGGGTTCTGAGAGATCACTTGTTTTGGAAGTTTAATGTTTGGTGCCAAATAACAGAATAAGGAATTAGAATGAATAAAAAAATTGTTCTTTAGTTTCTAGGGTTTATCACAATTTATAGTGTACTCTTTAACGCAATCCTTGCATAAAGGGAAGAGAGACAATGAACATTTAGATATCTTTTGCTTTTTTTAAAATGTTCCTTTTTTGCAGTTGCGGCAGAATTTCATAATCAATCAACGATTGAGAGTATGAAAAGAGATTTACTTAATCTGGACATTAATTCACAAATTGGGAGTTGTATGTCAATTTCTTCCATGCGAATTGGAACCTTTATCCACAACATTGAGGTGAACCCTGGTCAAGGCGGAAAGCTGGTCCGGGCGGCTGGAACTTCGGCTAAGATCCTCAAAGAACCGAAATCAAGATACTGTTTGATTAGACTGCCATCAGGTGCTGAAAAATTGATTGATACTCAATGTAGAGCGACGGTTGGTATGGTGTCGAATCCTAGCCATGGAGCTAAGAAGCTTAGGAAGGCAGGACAGAGTCGGTGGTTGGGCAGGAGACCCGTGGTTAGGGGAGTTGCAATGAATCCGGTCGATCATCCTCATGGTGGTGGTGAGGGAAGGAGTAAAAGTAGTGGAAGTTATGGGCAGACTTCACGGACACCTTGGGGAAAGCCTTGTAAGTGTGGGTTTAAGACTGCCAAAAGCAGACGCAGAAACTAGTTCTCGTCTAGTTGGCATTTTGCTTCTTTATCTATTTTCAACAATCTGATGCTCATGCTTTTGATATTTTTTTTATTAGTTAAAGGACTCCTTGTATGAATTGAGGCATTTAGCCGTTGATGCTGTTTGGATGCTCATCTTGGTTCTTCAGCAAGTTCTAAAAAATTATGTTAATTTTGAGGAAATATTTTTCATTTAATCGGTATCTCAGCTGATCAAATAGTGATGGTTATTTTTTCATATGCATCTTCAGCCCTGTATGCACAATCTGAACCATTTGTAAGAGTGCATTTTTTATGTTGATTTCTTCATTTCCACCTTGTATTTGATTGATATCTCAGTATCTTTTCCTGGAAGTTATCTTATCATGAATAAACAACATATAATGTGCTTCAGAAATTAGATCATTTAACTCTGGATTTAAGTGAAATCTCTGTTAAAAATTGTGTGATTTAATTCGGATTCGTATGGTGATGCTTGTTTTTTGAAGTAATTATGTGGATTCAGATTTATTCATCCATAGTTCTTCCAGCACACAAGAAAAAACCAAACAAAATCATTAGGCAAAACTTATTGAGATTATATTCATGTGAAATAGGGTGTAAAAATAATTTTCTTGTAACTTCCTTTGGTTACATAAATGATCAAACATGTTGAATAGATGCATATCTCGTTAGCTTCCACCAATTTGCCTTGTCCATTGTAGGTGGTTTGAGTATAGTGATACACAAATAAACATCATACAAGGCTGAACACATCAGGAACACTTAAAATTTCCATCTGTTCTTGCGATCCGACTGCCGCGAGCTTCTTCTGCAGGGCTGCTGACTCTTCCCCGACATCACATATGTAGGCCGATGCTTGCCTGCCAGACAAAGTTGCTCCTTCCATACTATCTATGTAATCCTGTAAACAATAATACAATTATAAATTATAGCATCCCCATTTTCTTATAGTTCAGATCACATGAAATGCAGGAGTCCGAGACACTTGGTTGCCCATTTTTTTTTCTTAATTCTTGGTTGAAAGGGAAAAACAGTCAGCATTGGACAGCTAAGTTATTTATGGGTGTGTTCTGATCAGGTCAGAATGGATCTTTACCAGGTCCTTCGAGATGGACGACCATGCAACTTGTAATCCTTGGGATAACGGGAATTGAGCCAAAACCTGCCGATAAAAAACAAGTGATTATCATGGACTGGAATTCAATTTGTGAGCATACATGGATGAAGGAGAAAGTGAAAATGGACTTGGACCCTGACTGGACAGAGACAGAGAACTATGCATCTTGGTCTCTTGAAAGTTGTAATCAAACTTAAGAATAAATGGTTCCTTAGAATTTTCAGTTCCCAACCTGCTTTGCTACTCTATGATTTCATTGTTTGGCAACGGCATGTACGGGTCTACAGTCACCGGGTGTCAGACACGTCTGATAGTCGATATAGCCAAAACAAGCAGTGAGGTAATTTGGCCAATTGAGAAGAAAACCCGGGATTCAAAAGAAGTCAACAAAATTATGGAACTGAAAGTAACATGCAAATAAATAAACGAGGAAAAAGGTTACGGCTAACACTCATGTCAGAAACATTGTTAGCTGAAATAAGGACTATTTGTCTGGGAATTAAAACAAAAAAAATTGAAAACTTTAGGGAAGTGTAGAATGGATTAAAAAAAGGTGCTAACTTGTAAGTAAATGGCTTTGCCACTTACCATCGACCAACCCAAAACCAGCATTCATGTTTCAGATTAAACAAATTATCTTGCATCGTATTGTCACAGTTTTTATTTTACGTTCGAAATAGATTTTCTTGCGAATTTTTAATGAAAGGCTAACGGCTCCTGTTTCTCGCTTTTCTGAAAAACCAAGACTTGAATTGTCCCTAACTTCGAGCTAACAGAATAAACGAGCTTTTGCATTCGGCTTGTCTTAATTGGACAATGGCTTTATTGATTTGAATTGATATCCAAATTATAAGGAGCATTATTTGAAAAACCTGATTCTATCAATCTCATCGATGTTTTTGATAATGGATTGTACAGGTAAAGATATATCCGGTTGTTGTAATAAGCAATGGAAATTCAGAATCTGAAGCATTTGCAGTGTTCCATCCATATAAAAAACAGAAGATTATAATTATTTTTTTCATCTGATGATTCTTATATTTTCCATTCTTATCAATTTTAATGTATATTCGGATAATGGGTATAAAAATATAATTTTTAAAATAATTTCTATATTATTCGGATTCTTCATTTTTTTGTAAAATATTCATACTAATTATCGATATCTAACATATATTTGGATATGAATATTGGTACAACTCTCCCCCTAAGTTGGAGTAACATAGCTTGAACCTACTTGCTTACCTCATTTGTAAGAAGTGATTTCCATCTTTGGTGTAATTGTTGATTGATAAAGTTTGACAATCCATGGATCTTGATTCCCATCAGCTATGCCTCTCGACTGCGAAGGCGAATATCGTTGAATATATTCATCCATTTCTTCACCTGGAGTTATTCTTTTGCCTTTCGCTTTGAAGTTCAGTGCAGGCCGTTGTCTTGGTTCGCTTTGCGATCGGACTTTAGCCCTCGAAGATTGTGTGTTCGCCATGTAACTCGGCGTGTAAGGATAATCATGAGAACTGAAAGATGATCTCGCCGGTGTCGCCTTTGACGTCGGGGGAGAATGTCTGGGACTGTTGTGTGTGGTGAATGAGAACTCACATTTATGTTCTCTCTTCGGGATCGAAAGATCTCCCGAGTAAAATCTGGCGATTCCTTGCTCAATCCTCTCCATTCGTGAATGATTTATAAAACCATGATTTTTCATAATGATTTATATTAACACCATCCTATATATGCACATAACACTGTTACATTAGTTGTTGAATTTGGAGTTGTTACAGAACAAGTTCATGTTTGGTTGGTTAGAAAATGATGGAAACTGAAAGAAAACTTACTCTTTGTGTTCTTTTGAACTCTATCTCATGGGAAAACCTGGCATATCTCGATGATTGGGATTTAACAGCAAGTTGTGGTTCCTCAGCCATTTTTACTCTCTTAAACCTAGCTCGAACTTGTATCGCCATTAGAGCATGCATGCTTCGAAGAGTTACAGTCGTTTGTTTTCTCACCAGGTGACCCCTAACCAGTGCCTGCAACTTTACTAGTCCCCTCAAAGCATGCAATGCTTTCCTTGCCTGCAATGTTCACATCAATCAATACATAAATCATTAGGCCTATGTAACCATGGAATTCAAAGCTTTAAGCTAGGATTATTACCAAATACGACCGAAAGGCAGCTTGAATCCGGGTCGCCGCTACATGTAACACTGCTGCATATGTTGCTTTTGTTTTCCTTTTGGTAGAACTTGCCATTGCCATGGCAAAAACGTTATTGTTATTGTGCCGGATCTCCATGTCGGATACAGTTTTTGTTGCGAGTGGAGTTGCGGTCACCAAATCGAATGACCGGGAACTCTTAGCAGCACGATCTTTACTCGACAGCTTCCCGAAGCTCCATCTCCGCTTAAACGAAGATGAGGGTGATGGAGTTGCACATGGGTTAGTAATCAAAGTCCCTTCTTCAAAAGATAGGGACAAGTTCTTCCTCTTTGCTTTTTCATCTTTTCTCCCTAACAAAAAGTTTACTAACCATTTGCCTGCCTTTCCCATGTCTGATCACACCAGAAAAGAAGATTGAAGCTATTACAATTTATACAGATATTGGTATTTTTAATTCATGTATGTTGGTTTTTTTGTTGCTATTAAATTTATTTATATATTAATTTAAATTTGGCAATGATTTTGTACTAATCCAAGGCCTGCAATGGAAGAACTTATCCTGGTTAAGCCATTTGTCACTCCATTGAAGGTTTCTTAACAAAGTTTCATCACTTGAAGGAGCTTTCTTAACTTCTAAACTTCTGTTTCCTTGAAGTAATGGGCCATCAAATAGACTAAATATGGCACTATTTGATGTAAACTGTAGCTTTGAGTGAAATTTTTTCTAACAGAAATCTGTTCGTACAAATTATCTCATACATAAAAACATTTTTTTCTCTGCCGAAAATGAATATGTCCTATATGAGTATGCTTAATTTTTGTTCAAGTCTAATCATATATTTAGACTTAGAGGATGTCATATCCTTGTACCCTTGTAAAATACGAGTGTCAAATATAAATACTTCAAAGTCGGAGCAACACAAAAGGAACATTTACTATGTATTTATTCTAACTTATGTTTGACTTAAATTAAGGGCAATTCAAGATTAAGAAAAGCTTAATACTTTTCAATGTTTTGAGGTCAAATCAAAGAAATTTTGATCAAGTTGACTTTTCCTCACTGTTGTCCTGAAGTAGCCTCTGCAAGCCCCCTTCTGCTGAGCCTCTTGAATGGAATACCTTAGTAATTATTTTCAGTTATACACTACCATTCCAAGGCTTCAAGATGGGTGGTTCGAGGGGCAGTGAGGATAGTTTGGTGGTCGGGTTAGGCGTCCTGATGCCCGAAGCAGAGGGGCAGTGAGGATGGTCTGGTGATCGGGTTACGCTTCCCAATGCCCGAAGCAGAGCCCCTGGAAGTTCCTTATCATCCTGGTCGGAGTTATATTCCGGTTTCAGTAACAAAGTCCGGGCAATCATCCATTTCCGTATATCAGTCATGAATATACACAAAAATCAACAGGTGGAAGATAAGCATCCATTTCAAAGAAAATAATGAAAATACAACCTACAACTAACAATTGGCATTCGTTTTAAACCAAAATGCCTAACTGTTAAGGTTCTCTCAACATGAATCATTACCTATAATCCGATAAGCCTGGACCAAACTCTAAAAATTTGATACATGCTTATGGCTACAGATGTAGTACAGATCACTGCGATCCGCAGGTACTAATCCTCCAGCTTGCCGGTAGAGTTCTCCTTAAAGCTCTTAGTCAACCAGATGGCGGTTTCTCTAGGAGAGACCTTACCTGGTCCGAATGGCTTTAGTAACACACCAAGCTCATCATACCTCTCTTGCTGCAGCAACCTCGCACTAAATTCAAGCAACCCCTCCAATGCCTCAGCACGTTGCTGGAGCGATGAGGGGTCAAATCTCTGCCTCCGTGTGTTTGATGAGGTATGGCTTGATGCACCGGCAGTTGCATTCTGGTCGGAGGAATCAGTTGCATCCCCTCCATTGGCTTGAAACGCGCTGCGATAATTTCCCTGCCATGCATCAGTGGAAGGGGGCTTGGTCGAAGCTCGATGACATGTTTGAACCATACATTTATCTTTTGTGATTGAACAATCGACAAATTGTGGTGAGCCAGAAGAGCCCTGCGTGGATACTGATGAAGTTTTGTGGATGGGGAAGAAAACATCTTCATACAAGGCTAATGGGAATTCAGCTATCTTATCAATTCGAGGAGCATTAACCGAAACATCGGGTGATTGTACAAGGTGAAGAATACCAGCTTTAGACATAGAAGTTGATTCTCGGAGTGTAGTTCTTCTTGGTAATGGCAAGGATGATCTTCGAGTTGCAGGGAGAGGTTTCTTAATTGGAGTGCATGAACCAGGAAACTGTTGGTACAAGGCAATAAACAGTGAAACGGCAGGCTTTTGAAAATAGAAAAAATGTTATTATTAGCAATTTCTAGGAATGTGCTGCAAAAACATCTGAGAAAAGGAAAAGCAGTGAAGGGGAGGAAGGATATATTACCGAGTCACAATTTTTCGAGGGCTCTGTCTTTCTCTTCGGAGATGCAGAAGCCTTTTTCGAAGAACTTCTCGTATTCTTGGTGATGCTAGAAAGCTTTGAAGTAATTGGCTTGCAAATGACTGTTCCTTCATGGCTGCTATCAATAGACAAATCTTCTAATCTTCGATCTAAATAACCCGGCACACCGTGATGTATACCTTTGGTAGAGCAAACCGAATCTTGCTCAGCCCCAGAAATGCTTGGATTTAAAGTCCTATCACTGAACGACCTACGCCTCTCCCTGTATCCAGAGAAGCCGACATCTACCGGATCCAAAAATCTAGTTTTCTTTATATTGGTTTCAGGCCAATGCACAGGCAAACTATTCCTTCTCGGGTTATTGATTTTATTTTGAACTTTGAGAATATATGGTTGAAGGTGCGGATGTTTAAGCAGCTCCTCAGCCTGTCACAGTGGATACAGATCTCAGATCATCGGAAAAGCAATAAATTGTAGACATGTGCACAGGCAGATGAATGAATGCTAGGAGAACCGGGCATGAAGAAGTGTCCCACTCAAAACAACTGCAACTTTGCTCTATCCAATTCCAAGAACATTTATGTATGAACTTTAGTTTGATATCATTATTGTCGACTTGTAAAGATGCTATGCATGATTTATAATACTTAAACCAGAGGAGAGTTATACGTACACTTGGTCTGAGTTCGGGATTTTTGCGGAGCATGCTTTTAACAAGACCACGACTGAAGAGAAAATCAAGCAATTATTAGACCAACATAATTCATCATTTTAAGAGCAGCATACGAGAAATGACATTCACAAGAAAGAAGCCAATCACTAAACTACTGTTAACAAGAAGAAATAACAATAATTATTCCTATCATGGAAGGAAAACAAAGCTTACAAGGCCCCAGAATATTTTGTCGGAAGCGGGGAAACTATTGATTTATTAATCTTGTTTATCAGCGCCATCATATCCTGCTCAAGAGATTTAAGATCATTATAAGAGGAAAACGAAACATGAAACTGGAAAGTGATTACTAAACATTAAACGATGTTTCCCCTGGAGAAATGCATCCGAATGTCAAAGCATTAGTTACGCATACAAAGTACCCTCGTGAAGGGGATGCAGCACAAGTTTATATTCACTGATGGAAATGAGGACACAGTACACTGCCAGATATTTCAGCTGGTCGAGATGTTGTTCTGAAGCGCTAAAAATGACAAGCACTATCTAGCTTATTCATGAGGACCAAATATATAAATCGATTCCAAGGTACTACTAAGAATCTGGCCAAATTACAGCTCGAAAGGCAACAAATAATATAGTTGCCGGAAAAACGTGTGAACATGAAAATCTGTGAAGACTATGTACAATAATTGAACCCATATATTTTAGGAATCTGTGCCTAAGAAGTCCTTAAGTACAGACTAAGCTAAAAGATGTATATGCAACAAGCTGGAAACGGTTACAAAGTAAGAAAGACCGGGTAGAAAACTCACAAATGCTTTGAATGCAGGCTTGAGAGAAGTCATTTCATATATGCAGCACCCTGGAGAATATATTTTCATGTTATATAAACACATGTATAGATAAATATCGAGACTGACAGACAAAGACAAGTGCCGTTCGTGTGCAAGCATGTTTACCTAATGACCAGATATCCGACTTAGAACCATATGGTATGTCAGCCAGAAGCTCAGGACACATATAGCTCGGAGTTCCAACAACCTGAATAACAATGATGATGATTATTGATTAATAAAATCAAGTGATGCGTCAAATTCTCCATGGATACTTCATTCATATATTACTTACAGACGATGTGAGATCAACGGAAGTCAAAATTTTGGCAAGTCCAAAATCACCTGCATAAGTGTTTTTCTCATCTTCCTGAGCAGAAATTGTAACCCTATCAAATGAACTAAGAATAAAATAGTAATATCACTCACCGAGACGTATGTCTTGATCTTTTGTCAAGAAGATGTTCGAACACTGAATTATACAATGAAATGAAATATTGTCAGTAGAAAGCAACTTGGTGTGTTGCGGATGATCATAATACATTCTTGAAGAGAACAACATCATGTCACTAACCTTGACATCACGATGAAGAATATGATTCAAGTGCAAATAGTCGAGAGCCATCAGGAGTTGAACAAGCCACTTGCACAGCTTCTGAACATGTTTAGGTGAAATAAATTCAGACTTATGATTGTTAAAGAAAAAAGAAAGGCTTTTTAGGAGATTAAAATAGCAATGATTTCAATATAAGATGAAATGGGAAATAACTGGCAAATGAGTTGGAGAATTAAAATATAAAAAAAAAACCTCTTCCGAGAAAAGCTTGCCATTTGCCTTCTTTATGGCTTCGGCCCTGGTTTATAAGGAAAATCTTATTATGATTGATAATGACTTACAGAAATCGTTCTCTATATCAGCAAGAAAAAAATCTTACATGTCTCCTCCTTCACAATAACCTATAATAATGCATACGTAGCAACCCTGAAAACGAAGACATGCAAGAACCCATGTCAGGTCATAGACCCACCGTGAAGATCCGGGTAACATAAGAGACGATAAAAACAAGTGTAAAATGACAAGCATAGAGGAAAATCCAGCAGTGCAGCCATTAATTGGAAATTAGCATACCTTTTCTACCCATGAATCTTTGTACTCCACGATGAACGGGTTTCGAATTTTAGAAATAAGCTCCATCTACATGAATAACATGAAATGTTAGTCTATAAATTGAACTAAAATTAAATTCATACCATAGAAACAAGTAGTAGGTCCATAACGAGCAACATTTACAACAACCTTAGAATTTCAAAAGTTCAATAACAATATTTTCCAGGTCCAGAAACTGCAATAGCTAAAATATTCGGGATTCAAATCTCTATTCAACACGTTAATTAAACATAAAGAAAATCTAATGATCATAAATGTATCATAAAGATTATAAGGAGTTAAAAACACCAATGGGGAATTATACAAACCTCCTGATGAGCAGATCTACGAGACCTATCAGTCTGGCGAGCGAGACGGATTTTTTTAAGAACATACCTTTATCATTCTCAAAGAAAAGAGAAAAGATAAATCAATTGACATAAGATGAATCCATCAAGGAAGTCTAGTTGTTGATCTGATATATTTCACAATTCACGTGTAAATCAAATACAAATAGAGGGAATGCAGTGTGTCTTATTTGCAATCTTACTTCTTCTTTTCATGCTTATGCCTCACTAGAAGAGCTGAACCAAAAGCTCCCTTCCCGATTTGCTTTAGCACTTCATACTGCTCCATGTGATATGAAGTTGACTTCTTTTTCCAGATTAGACAGAAAACGAAGCTACAACATTAGATATCCATGAATTTATAAAAGATGGAGATCCATTATGCCGGTCAGACTTTTCATTTTCCAAATACATGGAAAAACTTAGAACTCATATCGGACACACCCAAGTCCGAGTAATGCAAAGGATTATGCTGCACTATTTTCCAGTCAAATCATAAATTGATAAATCATCACAGCAGCCACGTTCATTTGTACTAAGCTCAATTGAGTGATATAAGCTTTTTTATTTAAAAACCAAATAAGAACCAAGAAAACATCAAAAGCAACTGATCAACTTCAGCTTAAAATCAACATTTATTTGCAGAAAAAGGCCAAAACTTCAGATGCAACAATAAAAACCAATAACAGATACAAAGAAATAGATAATGCACATTATAAGTACTCATTATCTCAGCTTAAAGAACACCCAGGAAAAAAATAGAGTAACAATTGCAATGCATCATAAAGAAACCTACTTTCTTGAGCAAGAATCAAGAAAGAAAAGAACTTGGAAAAAGGAGGGATGCAGGAATTCATGAAGAAAAATGAGCAAAAACATAAGCCCAATAAACAGTAAAAGAGAGATTCAGAAGAAATGAAAGAATGTAGAATGTACC